TGGGGGTATGTTGTACGGTTGCTGAGGGTGATTGTATGGTATTTTTGTCTTTTTGATTATGTTGTACTGGCAGGGTTTTAAGTTAGGGTTGTACTGTGAAATTATGTATGTTTAAACGGTTGAATGATATTTGTACTGGTGCTGGTAGTTTACTGGGTCCCATGGTATGTTGTGCTGGTTCAGGTATGTTGTACTGGTGCATGGTATGTTGTACTGGAGCATCGTATGTTGCACTGGTGCATGGTATGTTGTGCTGGTGCATGGTATGTTGTACTTGTGCATGATATGTTGTACTGGTGCATAGTATGTTGTACTGGTGCATGGTATGTTGTACTGGTGCATGGCATGTTGCAATGGTGCATGGTATGTTGTACTGGTGCATGGTATGTTGTACTGGCGCATATGTTGTACTGGTGCATGGTATGTTGTACTGGTGCATGGTATGTTGTACTTTTATGTTGTGAGAGGTGTGGTAATGATGGATCGTGTGTAACACTGGGTCATGGTGTTATACTGGTGCATGGTGTTTGGTACTTGTACATACTGTGTGGTACACTGGTACTTGTACATAGTGTACAGTTTAGGTTCCTGTAGTACACTGCTGCTGAATGAACTATGTGTTGTACTTGGACACTGTGTGTTTTAATATTCCACTAAATGTGATATTCTGCCTAGCATATGATTATTGTTACCGTAGCTAGGAATGTGAATTAGTGTTTGAAGATAATTCTAGCTAAGTGTTCCATAGTTAATAGCGGTTCTGAGGTTACATGAATATTGAATGCCATTTTAGCAATCAATGGATTTTTATATGTACTAATACAATGGTAACAAGCTTTAAGTGAATTATATCCTTAAGCCTGTTGATCTTACTTGAATGAGCTTATTTCTGCCACTGCCAATTTTACTTAGTATCCCGTTACTAATGTATTTAGCACCAAAGTTCAAAGCTCAGCCTATTTGCGTCAGTATTTAATTAATATAATTATTCATTTTTATTTCTATTGACTGGGGGAGAAGTGAGAGTTTTGAACAATATTTTCACGCATCATGTTGATAATTAATATCTAAATTAATAATGGAGCATTAATTCTTGCTCATACCATAATTTAAAGCGTGTGTGAATTAACAATGTAGGGAATATAAAGAATTCTCCATTCATCCTGTATCAGTGAAATGACATACAAATTAAAAATATTTCAATACTCAAGGAACTGGAAACAGCTCTTAGACAGTTCATGACGTATCACTTGTTGCAGAGGAACGTATAATTCTTCAGTCCAGAAAGTGAGTGTTTCAGAGTTGCTATATACATGTAGATGAACACAGTATTTCCATTCTCGATAAGAGTTCGTGTTACTATAATACTCTGTGTAGAGGAACACTCATTACTACAATATTTAATGAGGGACCTTGCTTTTACAATACTTGGTACAAATGAACACTCATTATTACAGTCCTCGATGTAAGTGAATTTTTTGTTACGACTAACTCACTTCATATGTAATATGGTAAGTACAAAAAAACTTTTACTGATAATTTGGGAAATTGCATTTAGCTGAATGTGTCATTATGTACATAACAATAAATGAATATAGATAATTATTATTTATCAGTTAGACAAGTAGGAATTTGGGACACCTAAGTCACAAAAATGTACCCCTTCGATACCTACCACTGTCATATCCACAAGTTGCTCTGGACCTATTAATTACCAATGAAATATGTATAACCAGGAGTACTGATAAATATAAAAAATTTTGTGGACTGTATATTAAAAATAATAAATGGTTATATATATACATAATTACATAACAGAAGGAAAATATATCTTAATATCACTCACCAATTTGACTGGAGATTAAGTTGTATCATACTCAGAAAACCCCCCTGTCTACATTTATGATAATAATACTGGCAAGAACTATAAACATAATATAGACATGACTTAGCTGGGGTTCCTGGAGCTGTCTTGTCCAGTCGCCTAATATCTCAAGTTATGCAGGAATGCACATCCAACAATTTCGTCTCCTATTTGAGAGGTGTCAGCCTAATTTTAACCTCTAGAGCACGAAAATTCCTTCCCATTACACTAGCGTTGTATCCAATTCAAAAAAACAAAATGGCGACTCTCGTCTGCGCAGACGCAGTCTTTCCGTTTTCTATGACATAAATATTATTAAATACAGTATGGCCACCTATTTACATATAAATACTGAATTTCTGGAAAATATATACAGTATTTTCCACAGATAAAGACTTTTAGGAATGTTAACCCCTGATACCAGTATACTTACGGTAGTCGCACCTTCGTTATATATGACAATAATCTTAAGATTTAACACGACCTCGTATAAAAATATAATTGTTATAGCAGAACACAAATCACTAAACTAATGTTACTAATATACTCAAGAGAGTAAGGTTGTAGTAATACAATGTTAGAGGTGAGTAGGCTCGAGCTTAACATTATCTCAAGTTGTCCTCAAAATGTAACATAAAAAATTATTACTTAGTGTCATTTATGGCATGATGGATATTCTGAAGGAGGAGGTCGTAGGTGAGGTCCTCCCAGGCTTGAAGTCGTCCCCACCCCTCATTTTGTGCCTGCCGAACATTGTGATGCTGATCAACAAAAACAGGCATTCCTAAGATGGGGATGCCGTGGTAGGTGGCCTCCTGGGTGCTCAGCAGACCACCATGAGTGATGAAAAGTCGTAGGCGAGGATCCCCTGGAGAAGTAAACACTGTTACTAAAAGATAGTTCATATTTCTTGAAATATGAGCAACATGGTCCAAACTATAACAGCTCTATGAGTTGGATTAAAAGACAAATCAAGGTCAACAACACTAGAGGGACCTCATTTCAGCTAAGAGCCTAGCGACTCCTAGCATTCAGCACTCCCGGATTACACACACACACGTGCACACACACACATACACACATACACGCAATACACGCATACACACACACACACACACACACACACACACCACACACACACACACACACACACACACACACACACACACACACCACACACACACCACACACACACACCACAGTTCCTCACAAGAGATTAGTGCAGAAGCTAGAGCATCAGGCGCATATAACAGGAAGGGCACTGCAATGGATCAGAGAATACCTGACAGGGAGGCAACAACGAGTCATGGTACGTAATGATGTATCACAGTGGGCACCTGTGACGAGCGGGGTCCCACAGGGGTCGGTCCTAGGACCAGTGCTATTTTTGGTATATGGAACGACATGATGGAAGGGTTAGACTCAGAAGTGTCCCTGTTTGCAGATGATGTGAAGTTAATGAGGAGAATTAAATCTGATGAGGACCAGGCAGGGTGAGTATAACACCGAGCATGTCTCCGGAAGCACACATCAATCAGATAACTGCTGCAGCATATGGGCGCCTGGCAAACCTGAGAACAGCATTCCGATACCTTAGTAAGGAATCATTCAAGACACTGTACACCGTGTATGTCAGGCCCATACTGGAGTATGCAGCAACCTGTTTGGAACCTGCACTTGATAAAGCACGTCAAGAAACTAGAGAAAGTACAAAGGTTTGCGACAAAGGTTAGTTCCAGAGCTAAGGGGAATGTCCTATGAAGAAAGATTAAGGGAAATCGGCCTGACGACACTGGAGGAACAGGAGGGTCAGGGGAGACATGATAACGACATATAAAATACTGCGTGGAATAGACAAGGTGGACAAAGACAGGATGTTCCATGGAGGGGACACAGAAACAAGAGGCCACAATTGGAAGTTGAAGACACAAATGAGTCAGAGAGATAGTAGGAAGTATTTCTTCAGTCATAGAGTTGTAAGGCAGTGGAATAGCCTAGAAAATGACGTAGTGGAGGCAGGAACCATACACAGTTTTAAGACGAGGTTTGATAAAGCTCATGGAGCGGAGAGAGAGAGGGCCCAGTAGCAACCGGTGAAGAGGCGGGACCAGGAGCTAAGACTCGACCCCTGCAACCACAAATAGGTGAGTACAAATAGGTGAGTACACACATTGTAGGGACAGCGAGCGCGCTAGTCACGCTTCCGTGCTCCGGGAATATAAGTGTTTTTGAGGGCTACCTAAGTGTTCTGCAAGGGTTGCTAAGTGTGTCAGGTTAGTGAACAATCCTAGAAGTGATTTTTAATCTGCCTGAGCTACATAAGTGTGGGGAGAGCCACAATTTTGTAAGTGATCTAGAAAATAAAAACGTTGTGGCGCAGAGTGGGCAGGCTAGTGTGTAAGGCGACGTTGTCAAGTGTCACCCAAGAAAGATAATAAAGTGAAACAATTGTGTGACCAGTGAAAGAAATACAGTGAATAGGGTAATTATTAACGAGAAGAAATTGAGGTTTATCTACACCAGGACGTACATCGAGCTGGATCTACTCCAGGACGTCACATCGACCTGGACAATCTACAGTGCTACAGCTACACTACAAGTACTGTATCACCTATGAGTGGTTGTTTGGGTGTGGGGTTCCAGGTTCCAATTAACCGCCAAGCTGAATGTGAATGGTCTAACTTTCATAGCACGATAAAGAATAGGCACTTAAGTATTCAATAAGGTTTAGCAAATGGTAATCCATTGAACAAGGCGATTAACTCACTATAAGCAGGTCGAGCATAGGCAACACTGTAAGGGTGGGAGTCAGGTCACAAGAGGTTGTGGACACAAGTGACAACTGTGAATCTACATTGCACTCCAAGCACAAGCCACCTAATTTTCAGACACATAATAAAAACCCACACATAATTCGACACATAATTACACACACACACAACACACACACACACACAACACACACCACACACACACACACACACACACACACAACACACACACACACACAAACACACACACACACACACACATACACATACACACACACACACACACACATGCATGCACACCACACACACCACACACCACACACACACACACAACACACACACACACACACACACACACACACACACACACACACAACACACACACACACACACACTGTAAGTAAGTGCTGGTAAGACCCAGGAGGTTAGGGGTCAGGTCACAAGAAGGTGTGGGCAGCCAAGGACCACTGAGACTTACATAACAATGCACAAGCCACCTACCTTTCAGTACATAATAAACCCACACATAATTCCACACAAAATTACACATAAAATTACACACACACACACACACCACACACACACACACACACACACACACACACACACACAACACACACACACACACACACCACACACACAACACACACACACACACACACACACACACACACACACACACACATATCCAGTGCACACATACCACTCCCCCCCTCACCACCCCGACATCTCACTACTTCCCCTGATCCCTCCCTCCCTCGAATCACCTTCCCCTCCCCCGTTCACCCTTAAACCCTCCCCACCCCTCCCCACTACCGCTCCCGCATAGTCAAAGTTCCTCTCCACTACTTCCCCCCCACACTCTGGACATACACACATACTAACCTAACATACAGAACTACATAGGTTTCCCTCTCTGAGGCAATCAGGATAAAACAAAAATGGGTTGCCAGAGAGCAACAAGAAAAACCAAGGGACAGGAGGAGGAAACTGCAAAGGAAGATTGGGCGCAGAGCTATAAAAAGGGATCATGAATGGGAAAAGAAACTAGAAGAACTTAGCATGAGATTGGAAGAGAGGATAGATATGGAAAGCCAGGGAAGTGGGAGGTGCATGTCAAAGCAGCAGAAGCTAGGATACAGAGCTTGAAGAGGAATTGAAAAATCTGAAACAGCCTAAAGAACTAAGAACATTTGGGATTGGACAACAGAGACTGCTACCTCAGCCACAAACAAGGGGACTGTAGGAAAGAAGGGGCACAACTGCATGGAGAAGCTCTATCAAGGAGACTGTAGCAAATGAAAGAGCTAAGCTTTATGTGGAGGCCCTAACAGACAACAACAGAGCCCAAGGAATGCCGAGAAGGGAAAATGACAGGGCCACTGAGCCCAAGTACATTAGCCAGTGAAACTGATGAAAGGAAAGCTGCAGTGAGGAAAACCAAATTAATGAGGGGATACACAGGGATATGCAGTGGGAGAATGAAAGGGTGAGGTCAGTCTTTGTGTATGGGCTCCAGGAAGTCGAAGGGGAAACATATGAAGCAAGAAAAACAAGGGAAAAAAAAAGCAATGAAAGCATCATGAAGCAATAGGAGAAGACGATATGACCAGCTGGAAAATTTCGGAGAATAGGGGGGTTTGTAAAAAAAAGAACCCGGCCAGAGTGAGAGTGACCTTCAAGGCAGAAGCGACTCGGACCAGGATCCTGCAGGAGAAAAGCACGATTAAGGGACATGACGGCATACAGGAAGGTGTATCTCGACAGCGACAGAACACAAGAAGAAAGGCAGAAACTGAGAGAGATGATACAAAGGCGATAGGGAAAGAGAGGGGATGGAGAAGACAGACAGGAGATCCCAGACCCAGGAAGAAGATCAAATACAGCCTCCCTCACAACTTCTATAGAAGCCTCCCAACCAGGTCAACCCAGTGCAACCAAACACTCTAAATCAAAACACCCATGCCTATCCAATGCCCCCACCCACTACATTACAAACTCCACGCCACGCAACAACCATAGTTCCTTACAGGTCTCCCACTTCCCCAACCCCAATATACCTCCCAGACCACAGTCTTAGAAAAGAAGTTGAAGGTGTGGTATACAAATGCAGATGGAATAACAAACAAGCATGAGGAGTGGCACGAAAGAACAAAGAGGGACATCCCGAGACTAATAGCAACATCACAGAAACAAAACTCATCAGAATAATAACAGATTAAATCTTTCCATCCGGATATCAAATCTCAGGAAAGACAGAGGGAGGAGAGGGGGAGGAGGAGTTGCACTGCTCATTAAAAACCGTGGGGTTTTGAGAAAATGGAAGGAATGGATGGCACGGGCGAAAGGGATACTTAGTAGGAATAATCCAGTCTGAGGGACATAAGGTGATAATTGGCAGTAATGTACAACCCACACAAAACTGCAGGAGGCCAAGAGAAGATTACGATGAGGACAACAGAGCAATGGTCGAACACTAGCCGAGGTGGCCAGGAGAGACAAACATGGGGGGAGCAAAGTTACTAGTTTGGGTGATTTCAATCACAAGGAGATTGACTGGGAGAAAACCTGAGCCCATGGGGTCCCGAAACATGGAGAGCCAAGACGATGGATGTGGTACTGGAAAACTCATGCATCAACATGTTAGAGACACTACCAGAGAGAGAGTAGAGGATGAAATCCAGCAAGGTTGGACCTTGTATTCCCATGAGTAGTTCGGACATCGAGGGTATCATGTATGAAAGGCTCCTGGGAGCTAGTGATCATGTGGTTCTGTGCTTCGACTACAATAGTTGAGCTCCAAGTGGGAGAGTAGCAGGGAATAGGCTGGAAAAACCAAACTACAAAAGGGGAACTACTCAGGATGAGAACTTCCTTCAAGACATTCAGTGGAGAGGGAACTGACAGGAAAACCAGTACAAGAAATGATGGACTATGTAGCAACAAAATGCAAGGAGGCAGAGGAGAGGTTTGTTCCCAAGGAAACAGAAATAATGGGAAGAACAGAACGAGTCCTTGGTTCAACCAAAGGTGTAGGGAGGCAAAACTAGGTGTACTAGAGAATGGAAAAGGTACAGAAGACAGAGAACTCAGGAAA